GTTCTGAGTGGTTCCCATTGAAGAATGGTAGCAGACAGGGCTCCCCATTGTCCCCACTCTTGTATAAAATGTCTGTGGAACCTCTTACAACTGCAATAAGGGAAGACAGAGCCATTAAGGGACCAGAATGTTATCAGACAAATTCTAAGTTAAATCTTTACGCGAATGACGTGATTTTAACTTTACAAGACCCTGTAAACTTTATGAATCCATTGATACTCATTATTTAATTTTTTTCTGTGATTTCAGGATATAAATTAAACCTCAAGAAATCTATTGCCCTTGAGAGATATATCCCAGAGAGCAATAAAAAAATATTTGGATAGAGAATATGGTTTAGAGTGGATCTCAAATTAATTAAATTACCGTGATGTTCAAATTAGTGTAGATAAATTATTGAATTAAATTGTCTACATTTATTAAAACAAACTAATACAAGTTTGATGGAATGGAAAAATATGACGATTTCTTGGTGGGGCAGGGTAAACATTTTAAAGGCATACATTCTTCCAAGATAGATTTACCTTTTCAGACTAATCCCTCTTAACATTCCAATAAATTGTTTTAAAATGTTACAGGCAGGATTTAGGAAATTTGTATGGGAAGGGAAACTGCCGCAAATTAATATCAAGACTTTGATGCTAAAACCAACACGGGGGGGTTAGGAATGCCAAATATTGAACAAGTATTTATGGCTAGAAGAATATCACATGCAATTCATACCCAAATAGAAAATATAAATAAGGAAAACCAGTATAAAATCAAATGGGTATAACCTTGGTTAATTGTTTGGGAAAACAGATGTGAATGGGAAAGGGATAAAAAAAATAAAAATGAAAGCCAGTGTGGCGAAAGTGGTTTTTGGAGAGGCCTGCTTGCCAACCTCTTGCCCTGTGACTATGGCCCCTGGGATGTATTGCCCTTTAAAAACACTAATTGTTCATATTGGACTTGGCACAATGCCCCTTCAAACTTTCAAAGTGGAACTTCGAACTACCAAACAGCTGGACCACACACAAGTGGAGTGTGCAACCAGTTTATCAGTTTAACGGCTGAGTGGTCGCCGTTCGTATAGTCGGACACGTGGCGGCGGCCATCTTGTTCAGTTGAACGTGTTCAGCAGTGTTTTGTCATCGGGTTCATGCAACTCAAATCGGACATGCGACGGCACGAACACCGCTGAACTTTACCTTCTCCGAAACTTTGACTCTTCGACGGGAGTCGAACAGTGTTCGAAATTTCGAACGGCACTTTGACATTAACGATGTGCACGAATGGTCCCCGAACATACACATTGAAAAAAGACTTTTGGGATTTTCCGGAATCCGTGCTTTGACCTGGGTAATTTTTGGATATGTTGTTCACCCAGATCAGGGCTATCCAGGGATGTATATTAAGGCGATATGTTGTAGTTTTGGGGTGTTTCTGTACTTTGGGTAAAAATGTGTGTTTTCTGCCTGTGGATAATTAAGTTAGTACATTATATACCTTAATTATATCACAGACAGAGGGGAGGGCTTGCTAACGGTATGTGGGAGTGTTACAGTACTAATTATTGTTCCCATTGGTTTATGTTCCTTTTGCCAATGTTTTCCATCAGGTCCAGGGGGTGTGCCTCTGGCCTGAAAAACTGTATTTATTCCAGGCTGTGGCAATAAACCTTCAGTTCTACTTCACCCTCAATCTAGAGTCCTATCTCTTATTGGGGGAATCTGCTACAAGGGATTGCTATGCTCTTCATACTCCCTTGAATAATTACTAAGCTGTTATAAGAGCTTGTTCCTGTTCCTGCTTCCCTTTCTGAGAAAAGAGAGGTTCATGCACTGGAACCTGGCGCCTTGTCGTAGGTCCAGGGTGGGTAGGAGACCGCAAGACCCCAACCAAGCTGCGACTGTTTGTGGGGTCTGCAGTGCTTATGGTGTCAAGTGGAGTGGTTGGAGCCCTCAGGAAGCACTAGGAGCATCCATCAATGGAGTTACCCAGCCGGGGTACAGGAAGCTCCGTTACAGCCACGTAAACCCAAATCGAAAGTTATTCTAGATGTAGAATAACAGACCATTTTCATTGCATTTTAGTAGGTATGATTGTTTCTTCCCTCTTATCTATTTTTAATAATTTTTCATTTACTTATATATTTTTATTAAGATCTGTGAATATTTAGATTGTGCATTCTTACTTTAAAGGTGTAATTTGTTTTAACTTATCTGTAAAAGTATCAAGAGCAACATTTAGGCGATAAGCCAAAAAAACTGCATTTAAATTCCTTAGTTTGCATGAAGATTGCTCCTTAGAGACTGAATAGATTTATTAGCGCCTTTTATTACTTGTTTTCTTTTTTTGTATTTAGACTTTATCCAACTCCTGTCAGACACATTTTCTGAAAATGATGTCCCCGATCAAAATATTGCAGTTGACAAGTCCCTTATGAAATGTAAAGGTAATTTATAAAGGTCTACTACTATTTAAACAATATATACCATAAGCAGTCCCAATATGGCGTTAAATTTATAAATTATGCAAATCCTGTACTGGTTAAATATGGGCGCCTTGCATTTATCAGGAGAAAGATAGCCATCTTGACCCACCAGGAAGCTCTGATTCTGTGGGTACAAGTAGCAAGATTGTATGGGATCTAATCCTTCCCTTGTTAATTAAGGAATACGGGCTATGGGTTTACAACTACTATATCAGCAGAGAATTATAAAAAAAAGGTATTGTGCTTTGAAAACCTAACTTGTGGCACAGTGAGGAAGAATCACAGGGATTTCCCCCATACTGGCAGAAGCAGTAGAGTTTCCTCTTCAGCTCTCTTGCGTTCCCTTCAGTTCCCAGCTACATGCTGTCTACAATGCACAACGAAAGTACAGTGCCAGTATCTGTGAGAGGTAGAACTGAGCATCTGGAAAAGTCAAAGTGCATTGTAGACTTCAGAAAGTATATGGGAGGAGTAGACTTAGATGACCAATGCATACTTATATCTGGTGAACCGAAAATGTAGGACCTGGTAAAATCAGAATATATGTGAGCCAGATTGCAATTTTCAATGCCTATGTCCTCTATAAAAAAGAGGTCATAGGTAAACCCTGTCCTTTCCTTAATTTCATGTTAAGCAATTGATATAGATCTAAATAATGATCTTTGTTATATTGAGAGGAAGCAGTGTTGAGCTATATTTAGATCTAACTAGCTATCTTGAGGCTCTATCAATCAGTACCACTGGTAACATGATAATAGGGACCAGTTTATTCTGCATGTGATAATAGCCAGAGTACTTAGCCAAGTATCAGCCAAGTGCTCATATTCAGGTTGTACCTTAGCACAGACTACGTGTGAGTTCTTGGCTATGCCTCTATTGACACTTTCACTGTATTAACATTTGTAACAAGCAGTTGCAACGAGTATCTATACTTTGTGTCATCTCTATGGGTACTTCCACTTATTAGGCTTTATTTTGTATTTTATTTTCCTTATACAGACTTAACATGCTCACAAGTTATTATGTTCGGTATTTTATTATATTTCTTACCTCCGAAAGAGACCAGCCACACAGCCCAAATCCATGGAAACATTTTAGGCAGGCGCCTCAGGTGTTGTCAGGTCTAAACTTTACCCCGGTGGCATTTCGACTTCGTTCGCAGATCTGATCTCTTTCAGGATATGTTGGGCGCTCAGATCCAAGCTATCCAGGGATATAGGGCTTGAGGGGGTACCTGTTCGTGAAATATATATTTTGAGATGTAAACTAATTGTGATGAAGTGCCCATTGCCACTTGTGCCTGGAGGGGACTAATGGCTAGCCTCTTGCTTTGTCACGATTCGGGAACCTAACAAGCTAACAGGTCACAGAGAGGAAGGGTGCTATACCGGTCCTTAGAATGGCCGGGTTAAGCACCCTAAGAATAGTCAGGAGACAAGCCAAGTAAAGGGAGGCAGAAAACAGGAGAACGAGAAACAAGCCGAGGTCAAAGGAATGGAGAATACAGGAAAATCGAAATAACGAGCCAAACAATCGGTAACCAGAGAGAAACACGAGCAAACTGCACTACCGGATCACAAGACCACAACAGGGCACTGAGAGACAGGAAAGGTAAGTATATAACTCCTGTGCTTAATTTTGATTGGATAACTTCCAATCACAATTAACAATCACACGTGGGAGATATCTACACCTCCCACTTTGATTATGGTACTGTGGCTTTAACAGCGGGTCACGTGACTGACCCCGGCGTTTGCATAAATGCGCGGGCTCCTAGCGTGCAGCGTTATTCATGCTGCTGCTGGGAGGCGAGGAGGAGGACGCGAGCGGCGCATAAAGCAGTGAGGACACCGCTCGCCGACAGGTAGGGGAAGGGGAGACCACGGGCGGTGAAGGACTGAGGGTGAGTGCTGCAAGAGGCTTGCAGCCTCCACTCACAGCCGCCTGCGGAGCCCTGACATAATCCCCCCTTGAGGACTGCCCGACGGGCTGGAAGCCAAAGGCTTCAAAGGAAACCGCGCATGAAAGGAGCAGATCAAAGAGGGCGCGTTTAAATCAGAGATAGAAACCCAAGACCGCTCCGTAGGGCCGTAACCCTTCCAATACACCAGATACTGCAACCGACTGTGGTAAATTACCAAACTCTATAAATTATTATGTACGCATACACATATAAACTCTGGTCCGTCTACTTTAACAAATATTTATTCAGAGACAAAAGAACAACAACATACAAATAATGTCACACAATCTAACTAACTATACCAACAACAACAGCAACAACAATACAAAAGAAAAGAGGGGGAAAAATCCCAGGAACACCGGGAGTAAATCCCCTCAGAACTAGTACCCCCTATATAGAGCAATAAATAGGATTTGCCCACTAGTCGTGTATAGAAAAAATAATAAAGATTTATTGAAATAGATTAAAAAACCCATAAATAGTGTGCTATAATACACCAGACTGCTATATACTAGGAATAAAAGGAATCAGCTAGAGTGCACATAACTATATGATACAATTGGATATTTAGTTGCACAGAGTCCAGTAGAGAAGTAGTAAGCACATAAGCTACTTCAAGTTAGCAACAATACCCATATAATGACACATGTAAATATAGTAGACACCAGCTAAAGGCTGCATTCAAATTCCTACACAGAACGACTAAACTCTTCACTATTAGATATCCAAATTAAGTAAAAATGTATAGGTATATATAGAGATAAGTTTATCTTAGCCACAATGGCTTCAAGTATCTATATCAAAGTAAATAAATCGAAAGGACAGAAAGATATCAGTGGAGAGAATGAAGAATAAAGTGGGGAGGCAATAGAAGATGTTCAATAGATCAAATGACCCTGAACTATAATTCAACCGATGAAAACAGGCTAATTGCCCAAGTACACCCCCCCCACCAGATATAGCAGGAGCCCAACGCGCGTTTCGGCGGTAATGTCCGCCTTTCTCAAGGGTATGATAGTGTGCAAAAGTCCTCCTTTAGTCCTCTCCCTTATATGCACTTATAATTGGCGCCAAAACATGCCCGCCCGTCATAGGGGGGCTTGGTCTTCGTTTTGACACGCCCACCTATTTTCGTATGAAGAAAGAGGGGGGGTGGAAAAAAGGGGTTTCAGAGTGCCCCAGTACCTTGCCAATAGAGGTAGACCCGTACGTATAGAATCCGGCAGGAAGCGCATGCGTCTCAGGCCGATACTCGGTCAAAGAAGAGACGCATGCGCACACATTTAGCCGGCGTCGACGGAGTCCCTAATAAGCCAAAAGTCCTCTGGAGGCTATTGCACATGCGCTGAGGCTGGCGTTTCGCCAGAAAAACGCGCATGTGCAGATCCTCACATAGAAAGATGCAATTTAGGCTCACTATGATATCTTAGTTCCATTCAAGATCATATATTTCTTAAAGTTAAATATATAGAATAGCACAGTGTAAGGATAAGTAACCAGAAATATATATATATATATATACATGATGTTTAGAAAACATGAAACAGTATCATAGAGGAGATAAAAATAAAGGAAAATTAGGACTCTATTGTGGAGAGGAAAAAAAGGGGGCATAAATTGAAAAAATAAACAATAATACAAAGAATAATAATAATACTAACAATTCCTAAAAAATTGGCATGTCCATTTAAAGGTACAGATATTCTGAAAACTGGAAAAAAAGGGGGGAAAAAGAATAAATAGATAAACCCTACAAGTATTAATCCAGATCAAAACTGTATTTATAAATATTCGATAGCATATCCAGTAGTAGATTACCGGCAGAGTCAATTCTTCCAGATCCGAGTTATATTCACTGATATTAGGGCATATACCCAGAATTGGATCACCCATATGATCAGTCAATAATGGTCAAATACATCCTTATAAGCCGAAAGGAGAATGTTTAATAAAGGTGTGATGTAGCCCAGATAAGGCTCGCGAGACTTTATACAGATGTATATATACATTTATATATCTCCAACATAACAGATCAAATAAACGGAGCAAATGAGAAACCCTCATTTAGACCCAAAGGTTGTAAAGTCTTGAGTCTATAAATCCATCTAGATTCTCTCTGTCTCAATAGACGATCATAGTTCCCTCGCCTCGGATGTCTCTTAACCCATTCAAGGCCACAAAACTTCAAAACTTCATTTTTACTTAATTTGGATATCTAATAGTGAAGAGTTTAGTCGTTCTGTGTAGGAATTTGAATGCAGCCTTTAGCTGGTGTCTACTATATTTACATGTGTCATTATATGGATATTGTTGCTAACTTGAAGTAGCTTATGTGCTTACTACTTCTCTACTGGACTCTGTGCAACTAAATATCCAATTGTATCATATAGTTATGTGCACTCTAGCTGATTCCTTTTATTCCTAGTATATAGCAGTCTGGTGTATTATAGCACACTATTTATGGGTTTTTTAATCTATTTCAATAAATCTTTATTATTTTTTCTATACACGACTAGTGGGCAAATCCTATTTATTGCTCTATATAGGGGGTACTAGTTCTGAGGGGATTTACTCCCGGTGTTCCTGGGATTTTTCCCCCTCTTTTCTTTTGTATATTTGCCAATATAAGGGTTAGGCCCTTTTTAGTACCCCAGTAATCCATTTCTCTGTATTCTTTTTCTGGAATTTTCCAGCTAAAAGTGCAGTGTGTTTGATAAACAGCAACAACAACCTAACTAACGATAACAACTACATCTTATAAAATCCCACTCACAGTTCACCATGATAGAAATTAGGCCATGTCTGCTTAAGGGACTGCTCAGTAGCACAGCCAAGAAGGAACAGAGAGGAATGGAGAAAGGGGGAAGTAGTTATCTCTTTCCTGACTTGTAAAGGTATTGAATTACCCAAAGCTTATCCCACTGTAAGAAAGGCAAACATGAGCTTGGTCACATGACCCCTGGTCACCATATTAGTTTCATGACAGAATGTCACCACACCGACCTCAAGAGAAACGAGAATCAAGGAGAGCAGCAACTTCGTACACGTCACTGGAGACCGCGTGGAGGGAATCAGGACGCCTGAGAGATCCAGAGAACCGATTACAGAGCAAGGGCTTCAAAAGGGAGGTGTGAAAAGTGTTAGGTATACGCATGGAAGGAGGCAAGGCCAGGGAGTAGGACACGGGATTCACCTTACGCAAGGAACCTGGGTGCGGATTTCATCAAGGGAACCCTGAGGCGGAGATTCTTAGAGTACAACCAAACCCTATCACCCGGGGCATAAGAAGGAGCCGCACATCTACGACGATCAGCAAATCTCTTCTGAGTAGCAGCCGCACGAGAGAGAGTAGCATGGACCTGATCCCACATCTTCCGCAACGAGGTGAGGTGCTCGTCCAAAGCGGGCATTCCCTTGTCGGAGAACACACCGGGTTGGAACCCATAAGCTACCATAAAAGGACTTAAGCCAGTGGACGAATGAGTCACAGTATTCCTGGCGAATTCAGCCCAGGGAAGGAGATGAGACCAGGTGTGCATTCGTGAAGCAGCGTAAATTTAACTCCACAGATTGATTTGCCCGTTCGGCAGCTCCATTAGATTGTGGATGATAGGAGGAAGTAAACGACAAGGAGATCCCCATCTTAGCACAAAAGCCCCTCCAGAACCGAGAGACAAATTGAGGACCCCTGTCGGATACGATATCCTGTGGTATACCATGCAAGCGGAACACCTCTTTGGCAAATACCTGAGCCAACTGAACCGCAGAAGGTAGTTTTTTAAGTGGAATAAAGTGTGCCATTTTAGAGAACCTATCTGTCACAGTTAAAATTACTGTCTGTCCATCAGATGAAGGAAGATCCATAATAAAGTCCATGGATAAGTGGGTCCATGGTTTCTTGGGTACAGATAGGGGCATTAGGAGTCCCAGGGTGTAATGATATTGATGTTACAAAGTTTTGGAGTCCAGTAGCCAGATCAGCAATGTTTTCTGCCAGAGGTAGCCACTCGTTACCCAGGTGGTTGAGCCCCTGAGCCTTGAGTGGCCTTCTGGTCTTAAGCAGAGATGGGAGACTGGAACAGAAAGATGATAATCGTAGTCAGGCAAGCCGAGGTCAGTGGGAAGGAGAAGCAGCAAAGTCAAAACAGTCCAAATTCAGCAACAGGAAGGAGAAACAGGAACACGCTGGATTAGAGAGTACAGGAACCACAATAATCTGGCAAAGGTACAGAGACAGGAAGTGGCTTTTATAGGCCAAGAACCAGACACCTGACTAGACACAGCTGAAGTGAGTTGTCACTGATAACCTTGACTCTACAAGCAATGGTATCAGATCTCAGGTAAATTTGCAAAAGGCAGGCTGGTGTACTGGTAATGAAAAGGTTTAGCACCATGTAAACCAGGGTTCGAAACCCAGCAGAGTCAGTTCCTCACATTACCTCCACCTTTACAGGCGCAGCCTCTGGATGCCCTATTTCCTGGTTTAGCAGGGTACTGTGCATGGAAAGACTGAAGAAGATCAGGAGCATGAATATTGTCCACTGGTTCCCATGATCTATCCTCCTCACCATAGCCTTTCCAATGAACCAAGTATTGAAGTTTGTTGCGGAAGATCCTGGAGTCAAGAATTTTTTCCACCTCGTATTCATCTTCCCCATCCACGAGGACTGGTGGTGGGGCAGGCAAGGCTCGACCAGGGAAAGTATTTTCATGAAAAGGTTTAAGCAGTGCCACGTGAAACACCGGATGTATTTTCATGGAATCCGGAAGTTGCAGACGGAAGGTGACTGCATTGATCTGAGCGATTATCTTAAAAGGTCCCATGAACTTTTGACCCAATTTATGAGAAGGAATCCTAAGCTTAAGATTCTTTGTTGACAGCCAAACCTTGTCACCAACATGATAAACTGGGGCCTCCTTTCTGTGCCTATCAGCAGCTCTTTTGTAACATTCCTGAGCCTCCGAAAGAGTCTCCTTCAACAGTTCTTGGGAATCTCGTAAGGCGGTTAGCCGGTCAGTGACTGCAGGAATAGGAGTAGTAATTGGGAGACTCACTAGAAAGGTTGGATGGTAACCATAATTGGCAAAAAATGGGCTCAGAGAAGTGGAGCAGTGTTGGGCATTGTTATAGGCAAACTCCGCCGTGGGTAGAAAATCCAGCCAGTCATCCTGCAGGTAACTAATATAGCACCGCAAATATTGTTCTAAAGTCTGGTTGGTTCGCTCAGTCTGTCCATTACTTTGTGGATGAAAAGCTGAAGACAGATTTACATTAATACCTAGAATAGAACAAAAATATTTCCAAAAATGAGATGTAAACTGCACTCCCCTGTCAGAAATTACTTCATCAGGCACTCCATGCAAGCGAAATATTTCCCGAATAACAAGGTCAGCAGTCTGTTTAGCTGAAGGGAGACCACGAGCTGGTATGAAATGACTCATCTTGGTTAACCGGTCCACAACAACAAGAATAGTAGTGTGTTCCTTAGAGGGAGGTAGTTCCACAATAAAGTCCATGGATATAGATCCCCAGGGACGATGAGGAATCGGAAGAGGCTGAAGCAAGCCAACAGGGGATGAGCGAGGAGTCTTATGTCTGGCACATACATCACAAGAGGACACATACTTCTTAACATCCTCATAATATTTAGGCCACCAAAAGGATCGGGTAAGTAGTTCTTGTGTCTTTCGGATTCCTGGATGACCTGCTGGTTTAGAGTCATGGTAGAGGCGTAAAACGTCCAGTCGCACTGATTCTGGAACAAACAGACGTTGTTGAAAAATCCAAAACCCATTAAGCATGGTCATATGAAGATCACGAGGAGGATCACGAAAAACTGGATCTTTAGAGTAGCCCTTTTTAATGCGAGACATTAGATCAGAAGGAAAGGTAACTCCTAAAAATCTGCTCTCTGGCAAGATGGTGGCCTTGGTTACTGTAGTATGGAGGGGGTCAGCTATCCTAGACAAGGCATCCGCCTTGCCATTTCTGGAACCAGGGCGGTATGAAATAAAAAAATTAAACCTTGAGAAAAATAGGGACCAGCGTGCTTGTCTGGCTGACAGTCTCTTAGCGGATTGGATACATTCCAGATTTTTGTGATCTGTGAGGACAGTAATTGGATGGGTGGCTCCCTCCAAGAGATGTCTCCATTCGGTGAAGGCAGCTTTTATAGCCAAAAGTTCTTTATTCCCTATGTCATAATTTCTTTCTGCTGGTAACATCTGGCGGGAATAGAAGGCACATGGATGTAACAACATCTTAGGTCCAGTCCTTTGAGATAGTATAGCCCCAACAGCTGAATCAGAAGCATCTACCTCTACAGTAAATGGCAATTCTGGCTGAGGATGTACCAAGATAGGGGCAGATGTAAACAGAGTCTTTAATCTGGAAAATGCAGTGTCAGCCTTATTGGACCACTGAAAAGGAGTCCCTTTACGTGTAAGTTCAGTGATCGGTGTAATAACGGCAGAGAAATTCTTAATGAAACGCCTGTAAAAATTGGCAAACCCCACAAATCTCTGTATATCTTTTTCATTCTTGGGGATGGGCCAGTCCAGCACAGCTTTAATTTTACTTGCGTCCATACTTAAACCTTTAGGAGTTATTACATACCCCAGGAACTGAATTTCTGTTTGTTCAAACTCACATTTTTCCAGTTTAATGTATAGGTGGTGGGTACGAAGGCGCTCAAGAACAATGCAGACCTGTTTTCTGTGATTTTCAAGATTATCAGAAAATATCAGGATATCATCCAAATATGCCACAACAAACTGATCCAGGAGATCCCGTAGTACATCATTGATTAGATGCTGAAAAGTTGCAGGGGCATTACAAAGCCCAAATGGCATTACTAGATATTCGTAATGTCCGTACCTGGTTCTGAAAGCTGTTTTCCATTCATCATTTGGTCTTATGCGAACCAGATTATATGCCCCCCGTAGATCAAGCTTCGTAAATATTTTAGCTGAACGAAGTCTCTCCAGAAGTTCAGGAATGAGAGGCAAGGGATAACGGTTTTTAACAGTGATTTTATTAATGTCCCTGTAATCAACACAAGGCCGTAGACTGCCATCTTTCTTT